TTTGCCTTGCACGCGGCCAACCCAAGTTCGATTCCCAGCATCCCATATGGTCCCCTGAGCACTGCCAGGAATAATTCCTGACTAACCCCTGTGCGTCACCAGGTGTGATCCAAAAATGCCAAGCAAAAAACAAAAAAACAAAAAAAAACAACATGATTATAAAATAACACCAGATTTTAAAAAGAAATCCTTCTAAATGAGAAAACAAAGTGAAACAGTCTATGTAAATGAGCATCTTTAGTTGATGGCAGAAGAAAGATTACACTTCATTCAGAGCCTATGGATCCTAGAGGGAATTAGTGAAGGATGAAAGAATTCCCCTAAAGTAATACAAAAATAAAACACTATCCAACTGACCAGGAGCCAATATCCACGCTACATTTGGAATTCACAGAACTCAACAGGACAACCCCTTCAGAGAGTGGGGAAAAAGGTTGGAAAGATACTTCTCCAAAGATATACCGATGGCGAACAGGCACATGGTGGGGGTGGGGCTGGGGGGAGAGCTCATAATCACTTATTCTCAGGCAAATGCAAATAAAAACAACAATGAGCTAGCACCTCACAGCTGGGAGCATGATCCCCATCAAAAGAGCCATGAACAGGCCCAATGCCCACAGCCACTGTCCTGGCAACTCTCTCAACAGCCCTGCCCTGCCCAATCCCGACCGAAACTCCCAGGAGACGTGGGAGTTTCCATAACTCTTATGGAATTGCCACCTTGTGGACTCTGGCCCAGTCAGTTCCACAGATCTGGAACTGTCTGGACCGCAAAACCACATACAATACTTCCTGAAGCGATAGAAAACGTAATAAAGTCTTAGACAAGAACTTAGCAACCCTGCAATCAGATATAACAATGTTCACATAAATTTATTTTCTAGATCTATTGATTTGAATATTGCAACTTTGTTATCTAATCAATTTTAATCCTAGAATTGTATCAACAGTTACTGCTTTTTTCTACATTAAATATAAAAACAAACAACAACCCCAAAAAAAGCCAGCAACAAGAGTTGGAGCAATAGGACAGCAAGTAGGGCACTTGCCTTACACGCAGCTGTCCCATGTTCGATCCCAGGCATCCCATATGATCCCATGAGCACTACCAGGAGTAATTTCTGAGTGCAGAGCCAAGAGTAATCCCTGAGCATCGCCAACTGTGCCCCCAAAATAAAACAAAAAAATCCAGAAACAACACATAACAAAAACCAAAACAAAATAGAAAATCCAGAAACAATATACAACAAAAAACAAAACAAAACAGAAAATCCGGAAACAACACATTTTGGTGAGGGTGCAGGGAAAGGGAGAAAATGGAAACTGGTGGAGCCTCTCTCGGAAACTGTTGGAAGAAACATAATACTTTCTCAAAGTATCAAGGCTAGACATGCCATAGGATCCAGCACACTATAACTAGAACACAGAATTGCTACTTTGGAAAGAGAAAGGCAGGGCTGGAGCAATAGTAGCGTGGTAGGGCACTTGCCTTGCATGCGGCTGACCTGGGTTCGATTCCCAGAATCCCATATGGTCCCCCAGCACCGCCAGAATTAATTCCTGAGTGCATGAACTCCTGTGCATTGCCAGGTAGGACCCAAAACGCAAAAAAAAAAAAAAAAAAGTCTAACATATTTTCTTTCTTTTTTTTTCTTTAGTTTTTGGGTCACACTGAGTGGTTCTCTGGGTTGCTCTCAGCAACACTCCTGGCTGTGCTCAGATTCGAGGAATGCAAGGCATGGAACCCAGGCCAGCTGCGTGCAAGGCAAATGCCTACCCACTGAAAGCACAACGTATTTCCTGTGACCCAGAGCCACAGACAGGTCTGGCAGACACAAGCGACTGCGAGGCCCACCTTGCGGCCTTACAAGACCATTTTCTACGAGATGAGACACTTGGAAACACAAACACTCAATGACGTTGGGAGTAATTGCTAGTTTTTGGAGAGGTGTGACATGGGTATTCTGGTTATGTTTTCTATGGGATCATCCATGTTTTTGAGACAGATACTGAATTCCTGGCTGGAAAGTGATGATGGCAGCTAGAGGCGATGGAAGCTATATTTGTACCCAGCCACTATTTGGGGCGGGAGGAGCTGGCTGAGGTGTGGGAGAGGCAGGGTTAGTTGTGGACCTGACTGGACATCACTGGGCAATGTCTTGGGACACTTCCATCTAAGCTGGACATATCTAAAACTTTGAAAAGAATTCTGGTCTTTTTCTTTAATCCTTAACTGCATCCAGTGTAGGAATGGGGTTTTTGTTTTTTTTCTTTCCATTGGGCTAGAGCTATAGCATAGCAGATAAGGCATTTGCCTTGCACGTGGCCGACCTGGGTTCGATTCCTCCATCCCTCTTGGAGAGCCCGGCAAGCTACTGAGAGTATCCCACCCGCATGGCAGAGCCTGGCAAGCTCCTCATTGACATATTCAATATGCCAAAAACAGTAAAAACAACAAGCCTCACAATGGAGACGTTACTGGTGCCCACGTGAGAAAATCGATGAACAACGGGAGGACAGTGACAGTGCTACAGTGCTTTCCACTGTGAGTTGAAAAGATTCCCAAAAAAAAGATGTAACAGGGAAAGGAAGGGAAAGGCAGAGAGAAGAGTTGGTGATGGTGAGAGGAGCTGGTGATTGTGAGAGAAGAGTTGGTGATAGCTGTTTCTCCCAGAAATGCCTGGTGGCAGGGACAGTTGGAGAGAATACAGGGACTAAGGCATTTGCCTTGCACATGACTGACATTGGTGTGATTCCCAGCTCTGCATATGGTCCCCTGAACACCAGGGCTTGAGAGGAAGCCCTGAGCACTGTCAGACAACAAAGCAGAACAGAAATGTATCCTCATTTCACCACTGGTCACAATTCATTGATCCAGTGTTAAGTCTTAGGTATAATCTTCAATAATGACCGTCATTGTGAGCCATATGGACCAGGGATGATTCTGAGACAAAATTCTGAGACAAAACTCTGATAATTCTGAGACAAAATTCCATTTCACAGTCACACGTTTCCTCGTCATCTCGTCTGATCTCACGCACGAGGCCCACAGGCTGAGGCCGAGAGCCAGGTGATGAGAGACTCAACACCAGGTCTGAAGGACAACATGGAACAACTCTCTTGCCAAAGGCTCCCTCGGTGTCCAGAGCAATTCGGTTACCCAACGAACAGAGAACAGCCAGGGGAGAAAACAAGACACGGGACTTAGAAGCCAGGATTTTTAAGAAATCACAATGAGGTTTGGAATGCGAGCAGCAAACAGAAGGCAGGGATCAGGAAGCCAGGTCCTGCCCGTGGGTGGCAAGGCAGGGGACGGCGGCCGTGAAATATGGCACGTATGTCCAGCAGGCAGCTGACCCGTGCCAGAGTGCGTGCATGTGTGTGAGTGAAGAGAGCTGAGTGTTACAATGGAGTGAATATAGAGCAAAGGTCACCAGGGCGTTAATAATATGCTCCCTCACCACTGGGTTACACAATGGGGCCACAGCATGGCTGCTGGCATGCGTGGCTGTAATTAGCGCTACTTTCCCCCCACCGGAGCTAGCCAAAGAAAACAGCAGGCGGAGGGGGCGGGGCAGTCCTAAACTGCTGGAACCTCAGGGAATCCGCAGCCTCAGCCTCTGGGAGAGCCCCTCGCGCCTCCCCTGATGCAGCTCAGCCGGCTCTGAGGTCACACCTACCTCTGTCCTTCAGATGGGGGCAGGGTCGTGTCCACCCCGCCCCCACCACCAACACACACACAACACACCCTGGTTACAGGGTTCACAGCACCTCCTGCCTCAACCCTGGGATGCTGGATGGCTCTGTCTGAGGAACCAAGAGTCACAGCTAGAGCGTTGGGCCTCGCCTGGGCCTCTCCTGGGTCTGGGTCACCTGTCCCACAGGTGTCAGAGGGGGCAGGGCACAGGGAAATGGAGACCATGAAGTGACTGCACACACTCTGGTATGAGTGAAGGGAAGAGGGAGGCTGAGGGCACGCAGAAGGGAGGGACTGACCCTCATTGAAGGAGGGACCCGGAACTGCATGCTGAAACTTGGCAGGGGCTCCTTGGCTCAGCCCCTTGCACTGCCTAGGGACTCTGGAACACCCAGCTGACTGGAGTGGGGACCTCAGGAACCTCATTTCACGCTTGCACTTTTCTAGCCCCTGTGGTACCTGTCAGTTGTGGAGCACGATAAAATATCACCAGTTGTTATTATTATTATTGTTGTTGTTGTTGTTGTTGTTTTGGGGTGGTGCTCAGGGTTACTCTGCACCCAGGAATTACTCCTGGCAGGGCTCAGGAGACCATATGTGAAGCCAGAGATGGAACCCGGTTGGCTGCATGCAAGGCAAGCGCCCTCCCTGCCGTCCTATGGTGCCAGCCCCAAGCATCATGAGGTTAATCAGTGGGCCATGAAGGCCACGGCAGCTTTGGTGAGGTCGTCCTGGCCTGGTGGCAAGGACAGCTATGATGAGGGCCAGCTCCCGAATTGGCACATGAGCTGCTGCTTCTCCAAGGCCAGCTGTTCTCTCATGGACCCCGAGCCCACAGTGGCTGCCCAAACCCAGGACCCCTGTGAGCTCAGGTGACCTACGTCTCCCCAGGGCTCCTGACTGCTGAGACCAAATCCCCACTCGTGGCAGCATCTTTGAGCAGTGAGGCTGCAGGACACACATTCAGAACAGAACGAGGCTCTTGGCTGTGGGCGGAATAATATGAGGACGCAGGAACTGACTCCTTTCTGGTGCAGCAGGGACACAGTACCCCCTCAGTGAGACTGACCCTCAGCAGAGATTTCCACCACATCCAATTCTGTTTTTTCAAGGGGCATATCTAGCAGTGCTCGGGAGTCACTCCTAGGGGTATCAAACCTGGGTCAGTCGCATGCAAGGCAAGTGACTGACCCGCCATTGGGTCAGATGGCTCCCTCCAGCACATTCTTACAAATGAGACACAATGACGTCTCCCTCCACATTCCTCCATCCGAAAGGCATCAGGGGGCAGGGTGCGACCCACCTGTCTCCCTGGAGACCTGCAGCCGCTGGCCATTGCAGAAGGCGCCCTGGCCCCGCCGGCCCGTGTACAGCCGCTCCTCAGTGCAGTGGTAAATCACACCGAATTCCAGCTGCAAATGCAGGGCGGAAAAGAAGACAGATGTGGTTAACCTGCTGGACTTTGGCAAGAACGGGGGCCCCAGGAAGAAGGTGTCTGGGGCACGCTGATGGGTGCAACAATGCAGGAAAACGGTCTGGGTTCAAAACTAGATCTAGACATGAAGGTAACCATCCCTAAAATAAACAATTGCGTAGGAGAGTGAGCTCGGGGGTTAAGGCACAGCCATGCGCCGGGCCGACCCTGATTTGGCTCCCAGCACAGCTGGTCCCCCAGAACTGTGTGTGGTTGGGGGGTGTCCAAGTGGTCACGAGCATCCTCAGGCCCACAGTAAGCACTGGCCTGAAGGGCCAAGAATCACCAGGTGTAGCCCCAAGGCGGTCCTGAGCCTGGCCTGGGAAATGTCCCCCCAATAAAATAAACTAAAAATAATGACATTCAGGTCAGAGAGATAATCAGCAGAGAGCACAGACTGCATATGGGAGACCAGATTTTTTTTCTTTTCGCTTTTTGGGTCACATCTGGTAGTGCTCAGGGCTGACTTCTGGTTCTGCACTCAGTGAACACTCCAGGCAGGGCTCGGGGGACCATATGGGGTGCCGGGGACCAAACCCGGGTCAGTCACGTACAAGGCAAATTGTGTACTCTGTCTCTGGCCCCAGGAGGCCAGATTCCACCCCTGGGGGACATGGTGTCCCGTACACCGCAGGAGTGACCCCAGAGAACAGATCTGGGGTGAGCCCCAGAACACTGCCCAGTATGGCACCAAAACAAAGTATTTGAAAACACAGTAAGATGAAAAAGACTTATGGAAAGTTAACGTCTTACTCACGCTTGAGTAACTTAAAGTTACAGCAAAATCTTATTTTTGGTACTAGGGATTAAACCCAGTACCCCGCCCCCTCCCTCCCTCCCCCCCCCCCCCCACACACAAGACTAGTGCTATACCAGGAGACACATCCCTGACCCCGACCTCAATTTTTAAAAGGGGCCCACCAGGTGGTGTAGGTCCCACACCGCAGACCTTGGGGGCTGAATCAAGGCCTTGCCTCGAACATGGGCGACGGGGGCTCCACAGCCCCCAAAGCCTAGTTCTTTAGGAAGGATCCCATCCGATCCTGGAAACGAGAGGGTTCTGATCAAACTGCAGAGGAATCCCCGGTCAGCCGATGCACAGAGTCAGAGGACCCCAGCACCCAGGGCATCTTTAGGAAGACTGAATCCCAGAGGGCTCATTCCAGCAACAAGGCGGGGGGGGGGTGGGGGACCGCTCCATTGGGAATGGGCGGAAAGGGTGAGGGGGAAGAACCCCTAACACCATGGGCCTTCTCCCAGGCTGGGGCAGGGTGGCAGGAGGAGAGAGCCTTGGCTGGGGCCAGCTGCACCTGTGTCCCTCACAAGAAGTGAAGAGAGGCCCAGGGAAAATGCAGCGAGGGGGATGATCTCCAAGCTGTGGTCCAGGGGAGAGAGGATGGTCCAGCCAGAACTGGGAAGCTGCCCCAGCACCCAGTCGCACTCACCCCTTTCACCGTCTGGCCTTAAAGGAGCTCCCAGTCAAGGCAACACTAGACTCTGCTGGTCCCCAAATGATGGGGGTAGGGAGGTGGAGGATGCTCTCCAGGGGGGTGGGCCCCTTGGTTGGCAGGGTCCCGGACCCTGCGAAGGGTTCCCCTGAGCACAGAGCCAGAAATAAGCTTTGAGCACGGCCAGGTGTGGCCCACATCCCAAATAAATAAAATAAGGACCAGAGATATAGTACAGCTGGAAGGGCATTTGCTTTATGCGTGCGGTCATTCTGGGCTAAACCCCCAGCACCCTATATGGTTTCCTGAGTCTCACCAGGAGTGATCCCTGAACACAGAGCCAGGAGTAAACCCTGAGCACCGAGCCCAACAAAAAAAGTAAGTAAGAGAAAATTCATGCTTATCTGCACTTAAATACTTGTTCATGGGTATAAACTTTTCTTCGTTTCTCAGTTAGGGAATTTATTTACTGAGGGCTGAAATGAAAAACAGCAATTAAAGGGGGCCTGTTCTGAGAAACACCAGACACTCCCTCTTATTAATTAATTGAGGGGGGTGCTCAAGGGACCATGCAGGGGCCAGGACCGAGCCAGGCCTCCTGCGTGCAAAGCATGCATTCACCCTGTGGAGACCTCCCTGGCTCCAAGTCTTCTTTAAAAGGAGCAGGATAACTACAAGGAAATGAAGTTTTGTCCAAGGTCACCGCACACGTTGACTGATACAAGTTTAAGCCTCGGTCCCCTGCCTTTTGCTCAGGTCCCACAATATTGCTTAGTTCCAAGGGTCTATGGGAATCCCAAAAGAGTCACGTTCTCAGACTCATTGCCAGGCACAGATGAAGAATAATGACGAGGACACTGGGATTAAAGATGTCCTCCCAAAATAAGATGTCCTGCACTGTGGGACCAGCTCCCACGGCCCCGAGGCCAGATGGACAACTTGAACCGTGTTCAGCACTTCCCTTCCACGGAGCATCATCCAGAGAACACAGGGGAAACGGGGTCAGTCGCTAGGGTGCAGGCGGCTGGGAGCTCCCCCCTGCTTCCAAGGACACAGCCTGGACGGTCCTCTCTGCCGTGTTGACTTCCCTGACTGGAAAAACACAGGGCCGGAGGGGGCCCATCCAGATGCCAAGGAGAGAGAACCAAGGAGGGCACGGAGGGCAGGTGGCACCCAAACCCCAGCTGGAGCCGGGGGACCCCACAACATACCTCTTGGTTCACGGCAAACCCAATGCTCACAGCCACAGTTGGGAATCTGGGAAGGAAAACAGAAAGGTTTGTACCGTGCGCCCTGGGGGCCCTGGGGATGGGCAGGGCGTCCACAGCAGGCCAGGCCTGTTTGGCTTTGTGTTGTTATTTTTTTCAACAACCACTTCACACAACCTCACGGAGCGCTTCCAAGTCAAACAGGCGTGGCGGAGGGTGCTGTCAGAGACCCTTGACAGGCGTCAGCGTCTGGCAGGCCATGGGAGAGGGGAGCAGGGAACCGTGACCAGGCCTTCCCGCCCCAGAGGCGGCTGCAGCCTCTCCAGACAGGGGACAAGCAGAGCCCGGAAACAGGCCCACCCACCCCAGAGTGGAGAGAGGGACCCGGAGGACGGACGGCCAGCCGGTCGAAGCCCCCGGGAGGACAGTCGCCCCTTGTCCAAGTCCCATGCAGTCACAGCCTGTAACAGCAGAGTCTGCCGGGGGCTGTATCGTGTGACCTTTCGGTTGCTGCCCAGTCTTGAAAATAATCTCTCCTTTATGTGGATTTCCTCGGAGGCTCAGGCTGGGCACTGACAGCCTGGAGGGAAAATACAAAATCCCATCCCACGGGCCCTGCTCAGCGCTCTGCTGAGTGCGAGGACATGCTGGTCTTCTTTGGGCATTCCCAGTCTGCGTGGACACAGCCTCCTCTCGGGGTCGCCCCTGTGTCCCTGATGCCCTCAGACCCCAGGCAGCACGGGGCAGGAGGCCTTCTCGAGAGCGATTCCTTGAAGGCACGAGGTGAAAACTCCCCCACTCTTCAGTGACAAAGCAGATGGCACAGTCCCAAGAAGGGGCGACAATGCCAGCCAAGGGCCCAGACACTGTGGGGGGGGGCGCTGAGGGGTTCTGTGGTGTGGGTGTAGCTAGGGGCCCTCTTGAGGGGCTGTGTTGTTTCGGGGGTGTTCCCTGAGATGGGACCGGCTCCCGGTATGCTGGGGCCTCAAGGGGCCTTGGCTCTGGCTCTGGGAGGTGTGTGCTCACAAGGTATGCTCTGAGGGGGATCTCTGGGAGGAGTGTGTGTGTGTGTGTGTGTGTGTATGTGTGTGTGTGTGTGTGTGTGTGTGTGTGTGCATACGTGCATGCATGCGTATATGTGTGCTGTATTCTCAGGGGTGTTCTCTGAGGGGGCATGTCTCTGGGTGTCTGTGTGTGTGTGTGTGTGTCTGTGTATGTGTGTTCTCAGGGGTGTTCTCCAAGGGGGCGTGTCTCCTGGTGTGTGTGTGTTCTCTGAGGGGGGTGTCTGTGTGTGTGTGTGTGTGTGTGTGTTCTAGGTGGGGGATCCCTGGTGTGTGTGTGTGTGTGTGTGTGTGTTCTCAGGTGGGGGATCTCTGTGTGTGTGTGTTGATCTCAGGTGGGGAATCTCTGGAGGGTGTGCTCTGGGGGTATGTGCTCACAAGGGGGATCTCTTCCTGGCCGGCCAATGGCCAATGGCCAATGGACACTGCTCTCTCAGCAGCTGTTCTCTGAGTGTGGCTCTGGGTGCCTGTGTGGGTTCTGAGGGCTGTGCTCCAGGTCGACCTCTCAGATAAGCCCTCTCAGGAAGGCTGGGCTCTGGAGGGCACCAACTGGGGCAGGGGCACACGCCTGCCCATGGGGTCAGGCTCTGAAGGACTCTGGGGGCTGCTCTCAAATGGGGGGTGCTCTTGAGTGGGGAGTTGCTAAGGGGGGGACGAGCTCTGGGGGTGGGGGGTAGTGCTGCAGGGAGGTGGTAAGAAACACAATTTCCCATGCTGCCTGAAGGGATGAATGGGCCCCTCGAGGACAGAAACCAGCCAGCCGGGGAGTGTCTCCCCTTCAGCTCAGAGACGCCCTCGCCCTCTCTGTGCAAAGCCCAGCAGCACCAGAGCTCCTGCCTCAGGGGACAGGTGGGGGCCCCAGCCAGGTGCCCCATGCTCCTGCAGCTGTGGGGCCACATGAGGTGCTCCTCCTCAACACAGCCCAGTGCTCCAGACACAGGGGCAGTGTAGACGAGCACAGATCTCGGTGGTTGCGGAATTGCATGGCTCTGCTCTTGAGAGCACGAGAGTTTCACTGAGGCCCTGCACCAGCTGCTGGTTTGCTCATGTCCACCTGCACCCACGATGTTGCTCTGGGAAGGACCAAACACTCACAGAGGGGGACACTAGGGACAGAAGAGGAGTGGGTGCCCTCATGGGGGTGGCCAGCACTTAACACTCACCTGTGCACAAAGTTGCAGGTGCCGTCAATGGGGTCCACAATCCAGGTGGGGTCGGGGGTGAGCACGCACTTGGCCCCCGTGGCCGCAGCCTCTTCCGCAATGAACCTGTGTTGGGTGGGAGGAGAGCCTCAGTCAGCGCCGAGACCACGGGCAAAGCTCCCAAGGTGCTCTGGGCCCAGAAGACTTGCGGAGAGTTGCCAGGGAGGGGGGCTCCCATCACTGTTCCTGGATGGGTGGTCACTGACCGGTCCATGGTGACCCGAGGGTCAGATGCCAGGTGTGAGTTCGAACTGAGTGTGATTGCGATGCATGCATTTGAGGCTGAATCACTGTCTCCCGCCCTGGCCGGCCAATGGCAATGGACAAACCAAGGAGGGAAGGGGGGGTGGGCACCAGGATGCTGGTTAGCGATGGCCATTTGTTCAAGTCTCACTGAGTTACTCATGAAGGGCTGGAAGTAGCAATTACACATAGGTGTGGTTGCACATTATCAGAAACAATGAACAGATTAAATCCCTTTCTTCAGGGGAAGTTCTTCTGGGAGATACTCAAGGACAAAATCTCATCCAGGTAGGAGATCTGCCAAGGGAGGAATTCCATCTAAGGGTAATTTGCTTTCCCCTTTCCTTATGGGAAATATCCATTTAAATAATCATCTTAAATTTACTTAATTAAATTTTCTAGTTATTTTGTATAGACACAATAAGAGATATATTAAGTTTAAAGGGTGGCTCTCCCTGCCACAGAGGCAGGGTGGGATGAGGGGGTTGGGGGTGGGAGGGATACTGGGATCCATGGTGGTGGAAAATGGGCACTGGTGGAGGAATGGGTATTTGATCATTGTATAATCAAAACCCAAGCACAAAAATGTGTAATTCTACAACTGTACCTCATGGTGTTTCACTAATAAAAATATAAAAAATTTTAAAAAAAGGTTTAAAACCTTTTTTTTGAAAAAAAAAAAAAAGGGTGGCTCTCCTGGGGACAGCTCGCTATATATTCCAAATGACAGTCCTCATGCCAGGTTAGTCTTTCCTAACCCCAGCAGGGGTTACTTCTTTTTGGGTCATGACGGAGTTTGTTCCATGACCATGCTCTTATTATACTTTTTCTTTTTGGGTCACACCCAGCAGTGCTCAGGGGTTACTCCTGGCTCTGCACTCACAAATTACTCCTAGCAATGCCTAGGGGACCGTATAGGATGCTGGAAATTGAACCCAGGTAGGCCGCGTGCTAGGCAAAAGCCCTACTAGCTGTGCTATTGCTCTAGCCCCTTTATTATACTTCTTAGAGTCCTTAGCCTGCCCCTTTTCGATGCCAGGTAGCTTGCAGCTTGCCCTGGGCTCATCCAAGTCTCTCAAAATGTGAGACCCCCATTTTGCCCCATTTTGGGGTGTTAGGAAGTAAGGGCAACTGAGGTTTGAGTCAAGTAAGTATGACAAGCACCCAGGAATAAATTATTCGGAGTCAGTTAACTCCCAAGTTACAAAAGCATAGCATCGTCTTCCTGTGTCTCTACAAAAGGACACTGCTCCTAACTACACAAAGAACATAAAGGAAAGAGAAAAGCAGTATTTCACTGGCACATACAAAATCCAGAGTCCTCAGACGAATTTGACTTTACAAATCACGGGTCTGATTTGGGAAGTTAGTGATTAACAGAGAGGGGAAGGAGAGCACAGAGACGTCAATGATAATACAGAAGAGTGGGCGTGCCCGGTGGTACTGGGTGTGCTAGGGAGCACTGTGATGGGAGTAACTCAATAAACCTAAGCCCTGTGGGAGGAGAAAGGACAAACCCATGTTACCCAACACTCCCCTAAAGGCCCCTGCAGCCGATGCCCACCAGCTCCTTCACTCACGGGGGCACCGAGAGCAGCATTGCCAGCACAGACACCAGGGAGGTGGGGCCAGGGGAGGGGCAGCAACACATGTCCCTGGGAACTGAGGCAGCAGAGATGCTCTCCTTCAACTGTGCCCAGGACAGAGAGAGGCTGAGGAGCACTGGCAGGGAGGAGGACTGGGGTGACGCCCCCCTCCCCCAGCAGGCTGCAGCCTGGGGGGGTGGGAGTCAGACAGGGAAAGGAGCCCTAGCGTGATTCCCCTGTCAGTAACAGAGCCTGAAAGGACAAAGGGGGCGCCTCCACAGAGAGGCGGGGTGGGCACTGAAGGGGGGTGGCTGGGGCAGTGCACCCTGGGGCTTAACCACAAATAACTCTGTAATTCATGGTGACTCAAAACAATTTTCACAAAGGGCTGGAGAAATAGGACAGCAGGTAGGGTACTCACTGCCTTCCACTCAGCCAGCCCAGATTCGATCCCCGGCACCCCACATGGGCCCCTGAGTAGCACCAGAAGTGATCCAAAACTCATTTGCCGAGCCAGGAGTAACCCCTGAGCATCACCAGGTGTGATGCAGAACAAACCGACAACAACAACAAAAATAACTGTTGTGTGTCTTTTGTGTTTTTGAGGAGCTCAGCCTCTACCCATGGAACTCAGAGGTGCATGAGAGCAGGCACAGAGCCCAGGTTGTGCAGTGCTAAGTGTGCACACCGGCCTTGGAAACCTCCACTGCCCTGGGCCGAGGGTTACACATCACTCCAGCTGCCACCTCCCAGGCTGTGCCCGGCCTGACCTTTCCTCACTTCAGACAAGGAGAAAATAGAAGCCAAGGGCACCTGCCTTGGCATTTCCTGCCCATGGCCAGGGAATTCCTTTCCCCACAGGAATCCTTTTCCCTGCAGCGAGAGCACCGTGGGGAGGGAGCTGGCCTTGCACGTGGACAACCAGGTTCAATCCCTGAGCATAGTCAGATGTGACCCCCCACCAGAAAACAAAACAAAACAGAACAAAACAAAAAAAATCTTCTCTATTTTGGCCCTTGGGGAGACACGGATTGAAGGGGATCAGGACAGGCGGCCTGCCCACCCCCTCCGAGGGCTCGCCCCCCCTCACGCGTCCAGCAGCACTTCCTGCCTTCAGCTCCTTCTGCACCCTCATGATCAACAGATCCCTCTGGAATAAAGGCCCTGGAGTCCCCTCCCTGGAGTGGACCTTTGATCTGTCCTAAACCAGACTGAGACCCCCAACATCTCAGCCCCCTCTGGGGAAGGCCACGCCCGCTATCTCTGGTCACTTCTCTCAGTCGCGGGCACCAAGACCCCAGGAGATACCCTCCCCATCCCTTGGCCCCCTCCATCCTGCAGGGTCTGGCCTCGGGCCAGCACAGCAAAGGCCCTCTAGGCTGCAGGCATGTGCTGTGATAGCCACTTCTGTGAGTTGGGAAACTGTAGATGCCTCTGGGAGGTGCCATTGGGAGAGAGAATCATATTCTTGGGGTGGGGGGAACACACTCAGCCAAAATCAAAAAACAAAAAGCGTGTTGTCTGACTACCTGAGTCATCGGGCCCCAGGCTTTGGGGCCCGCAGTGCCATCTCACCAGCGCCGGGAGCTGAGCCTCCTCAGACGAGCCACCTCCACGTACAGACCTGCTGGCAGCGGGCACTTCTTCCACCACCCCGGCCCCTTCTAGCTGCCCTGAAGTACCAAGCAGGAAACGGCAGAGCACTGAGAGTGCTGAGCCAGAGCCCGACCCAGTCCAGGCCCTGAAACACCACAGAGCAGTGAGAGGAGTGAGCACAGTCACGCCCAGGCACTGCCCGGGCAGCCTAAACCCAGAGTCGCTGCCTTGACTCCTCTGCTCGGGCACCTCCGCCCCACTGGGCCTGGCAGCTCCTGCCCCAGGGATTCTGATTACGCTGCTCACGGGCACCAGGTGGGCAAGACTAAGGGAACAAATCTGCGATGAGAACAACACGTGAAGTAAGAGGAGCCTTGAGGCGCAGGGTGTGGCCAGGGGGTGGGCAGCGGGAACACAGACAAGGACCCCGGGGAAGACCCCACTGTGACTCCGTGGGGTACTCGCTCTGCCAGTTCTCCGGAATCAAACATGGCGCAAAGCTCTTCTCCAGCGATGAGATTTCCCTTCCCTGCGCAGGCTCGTAATTGCTTCTTACAGAAAAGGGTCCCGGGTTGGAACGGCAGTACAGCTGGGAGGGCGCTGGCCTTGCACACTGCTGACCGGTTCCGGCCCCAGCACCCCAGACAGCTCTCCAAGTCTCACCAGCAGTGAGCCTTGACTTCAGAGCCAGGAGAAAGCCCTGAGCACCACTGGGTGTGGCCCAAAAACAAAAAAGAAAAAAAAAAAGAAAAAGAAAGAGTCCACACCCTAACACACCCTAAAGATAACTGAGGAGCTAGTGGGTGCCACGGCCTGGGGCAGAAAGAAACAGCTTGGATACACTCTTTCCAGGTGCCACGAAGAACCTGGCATTTCCTTCCTTCCCACTGTTTACTGATTTGGGTTCTCAGGCCACACCCACGAGCACTGGCGTGGCTCTGTGTAGGATAACTTTGGTTTGTCCTTTCTGCCTTGCCACAGGGAGCTTAGGTATATTGGCTTACTCCCATCACAGTGTTACCATCCCTCTCTGTTTATTTGTAACCTCTTTCTCTGTGCTCTGTTGACTTGTAAACATTGCTTTTCTCTTCACCTTAAGTCCTTTGCATAGTTCATTCAGAGCAATGTCCTTTTTGTAGAGACACAGGAAGACAGTTAAGGCTGTGCTTCTGTAACCTGGGAGTTAATTGACTCCGAATGACATTCACTCAGGGGCATCTATTCTCTGGACTTCAGCCTCAGTGACCCTTTCTTCCTAGCACCCCAAAAGCAGGGTCCCGACAAGGGACTGGACGGACCCAGGGCAAGTATGAGCTACCCTGGCATTGAAAGGGCCTGGCAAAAGCACCTTAATACTTAACTATAAGAGCATGGTCATGGACAAATTCTGTCATAATCCAAAAAGTAACATCTAGAGTAGGACTCTGTTAGGATTAGGAAAGATTAATCTGGCCTGAGCACTGTCAACTGAGATCTACAGTGTGATGGCCCCAGGAGAGCCACCATCCAAATCTAATATATCTCTTACTGTGTCCATACAAAATAACTACTCTTAAGAAGTAGAATTAAGATGTTAATTAAGATGTTAATTAAGTTATTAGACTAAGGAGAGGAGAAACACCCTTAGGTGGTATTTCCGCCCTTGAGCCTGATAGGTGGTCAAGAAGAAAAGAGCTTTCATATGTTGATTATGCTACCAGATGGGGTGTGGTGTCTACCCCCAATGTTGGGAGTTGGAGAGAGAGAGAGACCAGGGCAGCAAGATGGAGCGTGGAGAGTCTAGCAAGAGGGACAGAGGGAGAAGAAATGTGGGGGAAGAATGCAGGAGCAGGCATGTGGAGAGACGAGAGACGCATCTGTGTGATGGAACACGGAGAGATGAGTGGGAGAGACAGGAGGAGACGGGAATGAGGGGCAGTGTGAGACTAGAATCGGGAGCTCAGTGAGACTGGGGCAGCGTGTGGGGAGAATGGCATAAATGGCAACTAATCAATCAACTGGCTTGGCCCTCGTTTCCTCCTTCAGCCGCCCATGGCATGGGTCGCCCCAGGTGGGGAGTGACCCGAGACCACCGCAGGAGGCAAGAAAGAGAGCCACAGGGGGCTCTCCTAAGCCGCCTGGAGATCACACAGCTCTGGAGGAACACAAGGTGCTGGTGATCAAGCTGGGGGTCCTAGGAGAGCAGCAACAGGACAACGGGAAGGGTGGCACCCTGGATGGGATCCCCAGCACCTAGTATGGTGCCCCACCAGAAGTGATCCTGAGTGCAGAGCCAGGGGTAAGCCCTGAGCAACACTAGGTGTGACCCCTAAAAATAAAATAAAACTAAATGAGGAACTAAGCTAGCATAGTTCTTTATGCATAGATTTCCCAAAAGGTTGACAACTTCTACTCCAGGGGCCAGAAATAAAGTAGGATGGAGAGGGCACCTGCCTGGCAATGCAGCCAACTGGGGTTCCAACACCTGTAACCCATTATGCTCCTCTGAGCCCCACTAGAAGTTATTTCCAAACACAGAGCCAGGAGGAAGCCCTGAGCACTGCCACATGTCCCGAAAGCAGAACGTCCACCCTAGAGAAAAATGGGGCTCTCAAAGGCCCTCTGAGGGTCTTTCCTGGGGCCTGCTGTGGCATTGATGGGAAGAAGGTGGCAGGGGCAAGAGAGAGCGAGAGAGAGAGAGAGAGAGAGCACACACAGGGGTTAAGGAACTTGCTTTGCATATGGTCAACCTTGGTTCCATCCCAAACACCCAATATGGTCCCCCAAGCCCTGCCAGGAATGATCTCTGAGCACAGAGCCAGGAGTAAAACCTGAGCACAGCTGGGTGTGGCCAACAAAACAAAACAAAACAAAACCAACCAACAAAAGAACAAACACGTCTCTGGGTACCAGCAGGACAACCCATGTGGAATGAGTCCTCACCCAGGTGACAGCATCATTCGGGGTCACCTTCCTGCAGAGTCCACCTGGGGCAACCAGCTGCCAGGAAGGACTCTCCTGTCAGTGCTCAGTGCCTAGCAGAGGGAAGAGGGTGATTTGAGTAGGCATGACAGACAGTGCAGCCTTGTCGGATGGACATGAGGGTGGGTCGGGCATGGAAGAAAGGTGAAAATGGGGTTCTCTGACTTGCCTGAACCAACAGAGCAAGGCGCAGCCTCCCCCACTTAAACCCCGGCCCTCTGATGAACCGAAGGAGCTACTTATGGGGTTGGGAGATTCTCCTCACACCCGTCCCCCACCCCCCATTATTGCTGAGCCCCTCCCCTCCAAGAAATGTACTTACCTGTGTGAAGGAAATTTATTCTGCAGCTCAGAAATAATTAAATCTTCCACAAGGTGATCTGTTTCTGTCACTAGGTCTGCAGCTGAGGTTTTGGTAGAGACCCGTTTTTCCTCCGAAAGGGCTTTCCTGATGATCTGAAATACAAGTCCAGGGTAAGTTCCCAAGCAAGCACCTTGTCCCCCCAACACTGCCGCCCAGCTTTAAGTTGGTGTGCGTGGGTCCCGCACAATTCGCTCCCCCTCCCCAGCAGGCCTTTGGAGCTATTAATGTTACGCCCAGGTCCATCTGAGTTTCCAGGGAGCCGTAATTACCCACTGCAACTTAATTTTCACAAGGAGAGCAGGGCTCCTCGGGGGAAAGTCGGTGTGTCCTACTTAAAGAACTTACTTACCCCTGAAAGAGAAGAAAGACAGTGATTTGAAGAACCTGAACTTCAGCCCATGGGAGAGGAAATAACAACTTTGCCCCCTAGAGGCCCATGATTTTGCATTTATGAGGCCCCCGTGTCAAGACTTCTTTCCCCTAGTTTACTATAGGTGGTACAAGCGATGAAATGTGCATGCAAACAGAGACTGCACATGCGAAAGCCGAGAAACGGGAAAGCTGAGGCAGATTCGAACATTTCCCGGGCCCTGCAGATGGGCACTGAGTTCCCCACAGCCTCCAGGGCCTAGAGGCAGGAGTTACCGGCGCCTAGGGGTAAAAATGTGTGAAGAGTGGAGAGCACCAGCCCGCAGTGCCTCCCCAGGGCTGAAGCCAGCACCACAAAGGCGGGAAGCCCGTTCAGGAAGGAGGGATGGCAGCTCCTCAGTCACAGGATTCTCTCTCTCTCTCTCTCTCTCTCTCTCTCTCTCTCTGCACCTCTGTCTCTCTCTCAGTCACAGAATATCTCTCTCTCTCTCTCTCTCTCTCTCGTGCTTGGCTCACACTCAGTGATGCTCAGGGCTCAGGGGTTACTCCTGGCTCTGAACTCAGTAATTACTCCTGCGCTGTGCTCGATCATATAGGATTCTGGGAATTGAACCTGGGTTGGTGCCACATGCAAGGCAAATGCCCTCCCCACTGCACTAGCTCTCAGGCCCCTCACAGGATCCTTCTTACGAAATCAAGAGTGAATACACTCCAGCTCAGACCTGTCTTGTTAGTTCTCTCCATTATGGGCGTCTCACTTCCCACAAATGACAATGTCAGCACACTTCAAGTGGCCTCAGAGCCTTCGCCTGGAAGCAGAGCATCAAGCCCAGGCCTGAGTGACTTTTTAAAGCACCTCAGCTTTAAAGCACCTCTGCAGAATGGACATCCTTTGCGCATCCTGACACTCTCTGGCTCGAAGGAAGCATTTACAGTCCCGTTCCTTCTTCAGCCCAAGTAAAAAAGAAAAAGAAAAAAGAAAGTGGACAGCAAAAGACTGTTCTGGAAGTGGGTAGGAATTTGGAAGAAGAAGCCAAAGAACCCTGCCGCAAGCAGAGAGAGCTGTCCCCTCCTTCAAGTCTGCCCAGCAGTTCCCTGATCCCGGGGTCAGCTCAAACAACACGCGACATTGTTTCTGTGCACAAAAAACAACAGACAAACATGACAAGACACAGCATACAGTAGTCCAGCATTAAGACGATCCATTAGCTGAGGAGGAATCCATCCCCAGTGGGGTGCAGCCACCGGGCCTTCCTGTTCTTCTAGTTGCAACATCCTGTTCATCACTGCCAGGCTAATCTCCTTCACACACCCATTCACACACAGCAAATTTCCAACAGGTGAATCTGCACAGGTTCCTTATTTCTAACTTCTCAAGGTCTAGTTCCTGGAGTACCTGCTCTAGCCTCTGAAAATCCCTACTTGGGGGCAGAGACAGGTTGGGCCTCACCTGGTGATGTCCAGAGACTATTCCTGGTCTGTGCTCAGGAGTGAGCCCTGGTGATGCTTGGGGTTAGGAGTGGGGAAGCCCAGGAGCTACCAGGGACTCAAATTGGAACTGGCAGGTTGCAAGGCAAATGCCTAACCCCCTGGCCCATAATCCCCACATTTTAAGGTAGTTCAGATTTCCAGCCTATAGGCCAGTTGCTGGGAAGTTCATATCTCATAGGGAAATTCAATGTATGCATTCCTGTGTGGTCAGCATGTGGTCTGTGTGTATCTATGACATGTGGCAGGTGTGACATGCATGGTGGACATTGTGTTGTATGTGTAGGAGGGGTGTATGCATGCGTGTGTGCATATGTGTGTGCGTGTGTGTGTGTGTGTGTGTGTGTGTGTGTGTGACACAGAACGCTGTGTGAGGCACACCCAGTGGTGCTCAGGGATCACTCCTGGTGGCAGCTGGGGGGGGGGGGGCAAATGGGTTGTGGAGGTCAAACCAGTTGGCCACCTGCAGGGCAAGGGCCTTCACCCCTGTACCATCACTCCAGTCCCCCGGGGTCTTACTGAAACGAAGACTCTAGCTGAGCAAGTGTGGGTTTGGAGATCTGTGATTTGCATTTCTTTTATTTATTTTTAAAATGGTTTTATTTAGAAAATGTGAGGGGGAGGGAGAGAGAGAGAGAAGCAGCCAGGAGGGAGTGTGATTCTTCTCCGGGGAGAGGAGAGCTGTGTAGTGAAAGAAATGTATTCCTCACCCCAACTGCCAGGCAGCCACCCCCACCAGGGATCTGCACTGTGGAAGGCTCCCTGGGGACTTGCGGGATGCTGAGGGTGACCTTGAGAAGCAGGAACTGGGGCAGGTTCTCCAAACCGATGCCCCCTGCTTCCATGCCCACCTGCAGGGCGGCTGGCACCGCAGCTCCGTGGGGGCTCCCACCCTCCCTCTTCCTGAAGCCCCTTCGCTTCCCCCTCAGCCTCCTGCCGGAGGTGGTGCTGGCGCCTGTCCCACACCAACTGCACTCCCAGGTCTTCAGTGTTCACTTCTTTTCTTTTGTGGGCGGAGTGGGAGGATATGCCTGGCGATGTTCAAGGGTTACTCCTGGACTGTGGCGGTGCTTGGGGGACCCTATGGGATGCCGGGGATCAAACCCAGGTCAGCCACGTGCCAGGCATTCGCCCTACCTGCTGTGCTGTGGCTCTGGTCCTCAAGACGCCATTTCTGAGTTCTTTTCCTTTCCACATCATCTGCCACCGCTTACCTGTGTGGTTCAAACAGTCTCCAACATCCCTCCTCCTCCTATCCCTGCTGGGCACCGCCCACCTGCCTGGGTAGCCGCCAGTCTGGTTCCTGGCCCTCTGGGCGGTCAGCCTTGTCCTGCATGAGGGGCTCCACAGCCAGGACCCCCACCCTGGGTTCACCCACTCCAAGTCCTCCCTTAGACAATAAAGCTTGTACAGATTCCTATCTGATTGTTGTGAGGGCCACACCCAGGGGTGCTCAGTGGGGCAGGTGGGGTCAGGGATAAAGGTCAGGTCCTACACATGGGTTCTACCACTGGACTTCACAGCCCCAGCCCCCCTCCCACACCCTGCCAAGTCCCTTCTGCCTGCAGTGGCTATTCTGGCTCCCTTCTGTCTGACTGTCCCTGAGGCGTCTCCTTGGGACGCTGTCTGCAGGGCCCTCTGCCTGGCCAGCAGCTAGCTCCCGTCAGACAGAGGCCTGGCGGCCCTCAGCCACTCCAGCCCATCCTCTGACAACACCGCACAGCCCCCCGCACGCCCCTGACAGTGCTGCATCTCCCTGTTCCACACCCACCACCGCCCTCATGCTGGCACCCTTTCCACCCCAGTTTCATGAGTGTCTGCCGATCTAAAAGGAGGCAGGAAGAGTTCCTGGCAATTTCATCGGGGTAGGGGACAGGGCCCCACACCTGGAGTTGCTGAAGACTTACTCCTGGCTCTGCACTCAGGGTTTGCTCCTTGCAGGATTTGGGACCACGAGTGTGTCGGGATCGATCCCAGGTCATGCCCATGCAAGGCACACGCCTTCCCCACTGTACTATCTCTCCGGTCCCGGGAAAGAGATCCACCCCTATCCACCCCCTTCAATAGCAGCCATGGAGGATAAACATCAGGGCTGCAGTCAAACGCCCCTTGGAGACGCTGGGAGCAATCACGGAGATTCCCAGAGCCCTTAACCTTCCTTATTTTTAGTGGCAGTAGGATCTGAAACATTTGAGCGGTTCGAAGAATAAAATGAGAAACTGAAGCTAAGAATCTTGGGATGTAAAGTGATCTTTATACACACACAAACCTTTAGCTCCCTAAACAAGTTGCTAGAACATGCAAGTTTCCAACAATACGTAACAGTGGCAGGGCTGGCCACCGGTGCCAGTGGCCGTGCTGAGAGGGCTGCGTCAACGGGTACCATGTCTCAGCCTGTTTGCCAGAACAGCCACCAGAAGGCAGCGCTTCTAATCTGTGTGTGAGTGCTTGGAAGGCATTCATGAGATGTCTGAAGAACATCTGAAGAGCATGAACCCCAACAGCCCTCTCTTGCTCTCTGATCAGTCAGCTGTCTGACTGGATTGAGGAACGGGCCGACCTCAGCTGCCATGTTGGGCACCCAGACTGAATCAAAGAGAAGATCCAGTGCTGCCTTGTCAGCAGGCCCAGCAGGCTGGGAAATAATTGAGCTGGAAGCATTACGGGGTGGGGCTGGGTCTGGAATGCAGGTGTGTGCAGCAAACTCTGTGGATGTTTTGTATTCTAATAATTCTGTTTCTATTTGGTATACGCTAGCCAGGGTTGAAGTATCTAATGAAATATAAAATGAAATATGAGGAACTTGTTCCATTTGAAAACCTCCATTGCCTCCTCCCCTCTCCCTACCCCCATCCCTTTTTTAACATCAAACATTTTTATAATGTTTTAGATGGAAGTTGTTCTTTGTCAATTACTGTTGGTGTCAGCCCTTCAAACTAGTCGTTTCCACTTTTTCTAGTACTCACTATACTAACCATTCTTCAGGATCAGGTGGGAGGTGGATGACCATATAATTATGTTTTCAAGATAAAATCTTAGTGAAAGACACATAAATGTTCTTTAGTTATATTTTCAAATATATGTGTATATATAATGATTTGGTACCAAAATAAAAACCCTACCATTTATACCATATGCAAATTTAAAAAAGGATGCTAAAATAGTAGATTAAGGAAAGTTTAATACATATACCTTGAATAGTATTCCTCTGTCTGATGTGTTGTGTTTTATCCAA